GGTAACAAACATGCACATATACATCCTGAATCTAAAATAAAAGTTGAAATTATTTATTTAAAAAAACAGGAATAAGAATCTATATTTGAAGTTTCTTTTATTTGCATAAAGAAACTGGAGGAATATATAAGAAACTAAAACAGGATTTCAGAGGACAGAGAAGGTGGTAGGAACTAGAGACAGGAAATAAGAGAAAGAGATAAATTGTTCACAATACATTGGTCCTTATTTCTGAATTCTGAGCCATGGACGTATATTACCTATTCAAAAAAATTTAAAACTTCAGGGAAATAAGTAATCATATGAAGAAAGGATGATTACAACCAAAACTAAAATTATACCCTGAGCACAACAGTCATTCCTTAAAATAAAATATATTTTTTTAAAATGTGTATTGACAACACAAAAAGCAAGCCTAAGGCCCAAACATTTCAAAATAATCTGTCATATAAACACAGCAAACCTGAATCACCAAACTATGAGAACAGTATACATTTTATTTTTATTCCTGTTATGTACCTTGAAAAAAAGTACTTTTTTTGTTTGTTTGTTTTTAGATGGAGTCTCACTCTGTCACCCAGGCTGGAGTGCAGTGGTGCCATCTCAGCTCACTGCAACCTTCGCCTCCTGGGTTCAAGCAATTCTCCCACCTCAGCCTCCCGAGTAGCTGGGATTACAGGCACCTGCCACCACATCTGGCTAATTTTTTGCATTTTTAGTAGAGATGGGGCTTCACCATGTTGGCCAGGCTGGTCTCAAACTCCTGACCTCAAGTGATCTGCCCACCTTGGCCTCCCAAAGTGCTGGGATTACAGGTGTGAGCCCCCGTGCCCAGCCAAAAAAAGTACTTTTACTTGTCTGTTTGTTAGGTAGAAGGAAGGAAATAAAGGGAGGGAGAGAAGGGACAAAGAGAGGGAGGGAGGGATAGAGGGACGGCCAACGAGTTAGCCCATTGGTGGGAATGAAAAATAACGCATTATTTTTGTGGGGCAATTTTGCAGTATCTACCAACATTTTTAGCACACATGCCCTTTGATCCAGAAATCCCTTTACTGAGAATTTACCCAACAGATATATTTCCACAGCTATGTAAAAGATAATTAATGCAGCACAAAAACATATGTAATGTGGCACGGTTTGCAGAGCAAAAATCTGGAAGTTACCAAAATGTTCATCAAGACAGAACTGGTTAAATTATGGAATATCCTAAAATGAAACCTTCTGAAGAATGAGGTTGGTGCTCCTGTACTGAATTGGAAAGATGGATGTGATATTAGCAAGTGAAAAAAAAGGTTGCAGTTTTGTGGACAGTATGATTCTATTTGTGTAGAGATAACAGGTCTTGGAGGATCCACCAGCCTCTGCTAACAATGGGTAACTCTGAGAAGCAAGACTGGGAAACAGGGTGGGAAAGCCAATTGGAAAACATTCACTTTTTTGAATGAATTAGTTTACTATGTGCATTCCTTACTTTTTTGTCTTTTATTGTGGTGAAATATACACAACATAAACTGTGCCACTTTTTAACCCTTTATTTATTTATTTATTTATTTATTTAGTGAGATGGAGTCTCGCTCTGTTGCCCAGGCTGGAGTGCAGTGGCACGATCTCGGCTCACTGCAAGCTCCACCTCCCAGGTTCCTGCCATTCTCCTTCCTCAGCCTCCTGAGTAGCTGGGACTACAGGTGCCCACCACCATGTCCAGCTAATTTCTGTATTTTTAGTAGAGACGGGGTTTCACCGTGTTAGCCAGGATGGTCTCGATCTCTTGACCTCGTGATCCGCCCGTCTCGGCCTCCCAAAGTGCTGGGATTACAGGCTTGAGCCTCCGCGCCCGGCCTGGCCTTAACCATTTTAAAGTGTACAGTTCAGTGGCATTAAGTACATTCACATGGCTGTGCAACCACCACCACCCTCCGTCTCCAGAACATCTCATCTTCCCACACTGAACCTGTCCTCATTTCCCCTGCCCCTCAGGCTCTGGTTGCCACTATTCTGTGTTCTTTCTCTATGAATTTTCCTATGTACTTCATGTAAATAGAATCATACAGGATTTTTCCTTTTGTGTCTGGCTGATTTCACTTGGTGTAATTGTTTTCAAGGTTTACCCATGTTATAGCATGTATCAGAATTCCTTTCCTGTTTTGTTTTTTTTTTTTTTTTTTTGAGATGGAGTTTCCCTCTTTTTGCCCAGGCTGGAGTACAGTGGCGCAATCTCAGCTCACTGCAACCTCCGCCTCCCCAGTTCCAGCGATTAGCTGGGATTACAGGTACCCACCACTATGCCCAGCTAATTTTCGTATCTTTTAGTAGAGACTGGGTTTCACTATGTTGGCTAGGCTGGTCTCGAACTCTTGACCTCAGGTGATCCACCCGCCTCAGCCTCCCAAAGTGCTGGGATTACAGGCATGAGCCACCGCGCCCAGCCAACTTCCTTTGTTTTTAAGGCTGCATAATATTCCATTGTATGACTACAACACATTTTGCTTATTTATTCTCCTGTTGTTTTCACTTTTTGACCCTCGTGAATAATGCTGCCATGAGCGTGGGTGTATAGCTATCTATCTGTTTGAATCCCTATTTTCAATTCTTTGAGGTATAGACCTAAACAAGGAATTGTTGGATCATATGTTGATTCTATGTTTAACTTTTTGGAAACTGTCATACTGTCTTCCACAGAGGCTATATATCATGTTATATTCCCAGTCAGACTCACCACTGTAATCTCAGCACTTTGGAACGATGAGGTGGGAGGACCGCATGTGCCCAGGAGTTCAAGGCTTCAGTGTGCCATGAAAGCTCCGCTGCACTCAGCCTGGGCCACGGTGAGATCTTGTCTCTAAAAAACATTAAAAATTAAAATTAAAACGCATTCCCCCAGCAATGCACAAGGATTCCAATGTCTCCACTTCTAAAACTGCATTGTATTTTTTAAATCTCACTCTTTTGACTTCAATAAGTTCGCTAATTTGTACCTCTCATTAACATTATATTTATATTACAAATTCTGAGAGAGCAGGGATCTTCGAAGGGTGGAACACTTAAGGTCAGGAGTTTGAGACCATCCTGGCCAACATGGTGAAACCTTGTCTATACTAAAATTACAAAACTTAGCCGGGCGTGGCGGCGCACCCTGTAATCCCAGCTACTGGGGAGGCTGAGGCAAGAGAATCGCTTGAGCCCGGGAGGCAAAGGCTGCAGTGAGCCGAGATCACACCACTGCACTCCAGCCTGGGTGACAGAGCGAGACTCCGTCTCAAAAAAAAAAAAAAAAATCATCCTGGCTTGGTGGTAGGTGCCTGTAATCCCAGCTACTTGGGAGGCTGAGGCAGGAAAATCGCTTGAACCCAGAAAGTGGAGGTTGCAGTGAGCTGAGAGGGAGCCACTGCACTCCAGCCTGGGCGACCACAGAGCGAGACTCCATCTCAATCAATCGATCAATCAATCAATCAATCAATCAATAAAATAGATAAATAGATAAATAAATAAATGCATTAACCATTTGTTTAAAATCAGTGGAGGCCTTCCAGGAGGAGGAAAGAACCAGTAAACCCTCAAAGCTTAGGTATCTTCTGAACATGACAGCCTGGGGACAGCTGCTCGTGCCCAGCCCATGGCCATGCTCCCCTCACATTCACAACGGGTCCTAGTCCCTCTCAGGGCAGGCATTGAGAGGTGATGATGTGGGGTCTACTGAAGGCCTCACGGGCATTCCAGAGTCCAGAACACGGTTTCATTTGAAAACTTCTGGGTGAACAAAACCCAGCACCCGCCTCCCGCACCCACCCCACCCCCACTGGCAGCAGCCTAGGGTCTAAAGGGTTCAGAAAGGGCCCAGCATGGGGCTGACCTGAAGTCAGGTGGATTTCCAATGACGGCTGGGCCAGACTGCTTGTTAAATAGAACACTGTGAGCCGGGCATGGTGGCTCATGCCTGTGATCCCAGCATCTAGGGAGGCCGAGGTGGCGAATCACGTGAGGTCAGGAGTTCGAGACCAGCGTGACCAACATAGCGAAACCCCGTCTCTACTAAAAATACAAAAATTAGCTGGGCGTGGTGGCATGTGCCTGTAATCCTAGCTACTCTGGAGGCTGAGGCAGGAGAATTGCTTGAACCTGGGAGACAGAGCTTGCAGTGAGCCGAGATTGCACCATTGCCTCCAGCCTGGGCAACAGAGGGAGACTCCGTCTCAAAAAATAAAAAAATAAAAAAAATTAGGACACCCTGTTTGCCCTTTTTGGTCACATGAGTCTTCCAGAGCATGAGCAGTTCTCTCCTGGGACCACCTCATTTGTTTACCTACTATCAATTTTATCGCCAGATTTGCTCTCACTCTATGCAGCAACTACAGATGCACAGCGATGCACACCTCGGAGGCTGCTCTGTGCTCCTGCCTCGTTTCCATGGAGACATGGCTGGGGGCTTTGGGGACAGGGAGGTGTGTGTAGGGGCTGCCTGGGGAGCGCAGGGAGGAGCAGGGATGCTGGCACTCTGCTCTTTTCCCGCCCCCTCCAGCCTCACTTCTGGGTCATTCCTTCCCTCGCGCACTTTGACCCATTCTCCAGACAGCAGGAGAGACCTGGTATGAATGAGAGAATTGGTGTTTAGAAAAATCAAACACGTTGCTTAAGGCGGCTCAGTAGTAAGTGGGAAGTCAGTCCTCAAATTCAGATTTTCTGATTTGTTTTTCGTCTTCTGGGGCCAACAACCAGCGTCTCATCCTCTTACTGCTTGGTCTTTGTTGGGTCTTAGTTATGAACAAATCCAAATGACAGTGCCTGGATTCTAATGGGGCCACAATTTAAATATTTTCATTTTCTCAAGGGATCCAAAGATCCTGTATTAACCCAGGCTGGTAAAATAGCTAGCGCTAAGTAGGGAGAACTTTCTGGAACTCTCAAATTGCAGCATCTTGGTGTTCAGTAGCTGAGTCATCAAGCCCAGGTCCATGCACTCATTCCCTTCCTTAGCACCCCTGCCCACTCTGCCAGTGACTCATCCTCCCGCACCTTCCCTCTTCTCTCGTGTGCCCATTTGCTCTCTACCCAGCTTTGCCACACCAGGGCTCTCCTGCCTGCCTTCAGGGTGACGAGAGGCAGAAGTCACAGGACTGGGGAGAACCTGACCCCAATTAGGATGAAATGTTTCCAGCATCGCAGTGAGGCATCTCATTGAGGTGAGACAGGGCTTTGGAGGGAGAGTAAAGGTGTTCTTGGGTTGGGGGATGCAGAGCTTTAGCTGGCTCTGGTTGCAGCTCCCAGGTGAGCATGGAAGTGAGGGAGGTATGGGATGGGTCAAGGGGACCGCTGCCTAACAGGAAGTCAGGATGGTTGAGGGGCTAGGAGGACGGCACAGGAGGAGTGTAGATCACGAAGGACCAAGGCAGGAGAAGCTGGGCAGAAATGGGCCCTGAGGAGTGGGGAGGAAGTTGCTGTTGTTACTGTTGCCGCCTGGCTGCAGAAGCCAGAGGTCAAGTTCAGGCATGCTGGTTTCTAAGGAGATGAGCTCATGAGTTCTGACGCTCACTCTGCAGGAGCCTCCAGCATGAGTCAGCATCAGCGAGGTTTCTCTGGTTCTAGCCTCACTCCTCGCAGCAGTCGAAGTCCAGGAGACAGGGTGTGGTTGTTCCAGACAGAGTCACATGCCCTGACAACCTGGCGGGGGAGGGATGCTTCCCCTGAGGAGGCACCTGACCTGAACAGGTGGCACCCTGGAAGGAGATGCGGCTGCTGCATCCAGGAAACGGAGTAAATGCTGGGAGGTGAGATGACTAAAAATCATCCAGTCCAATAGTGAAAAGACTGGCCTTTGAATCTATCCCTAAACATGAGGATTTGAATTGCTCAGTGGCTTTAAAAATATCTAAAAGATTTTCTGCCTTAGCCATTTCTGGGGCTCTCATCAGGTCTGTAGCTCCAGGTAACGGTCCAGCTGCTGATCCTTGTGGAATGAGACATGTGAAGCTCTGTGTATGAGTTACTGTTTGGGTTGTGACATTTCTCACTGCAGATTTACTGCCAAGCCTCACTCCCAGGTTCTACATCCACCCACGAGACATATGGAGGCTTCTCTGGAAGCAGGCCCTGGGAGGCCCACCCAGCCCACTGTGACTTCACACCCAGGAGTGTTAAAGGCTAGAATTCTCCTCCAGCTGGACTAAGCAACGTCCCGACTTAACACAGACGAGTAATACATATGCATCAGGGTGCAGTACTGTTTTGGTCACTAAACGCTGACAACAACCTAACGTCAATCAGGGGAAGATGTACTAAATAAATCATGGTGAGTCGTCTAGCATGCTTCCAGGAAAAAAAAAAAAAAAAAAAAAAAAGAAGAAGAAATCATGGTTCATTCACTGTTCAGCCATCTAAGAGAATAAGGTAGCTCTCTGTTTGTATGAAAATGGAATGATCCCCGATCTATGCTGTTCAAAGCAAGGTGCCAAACACTGGGCAGAGTACAACATCCCTTGTGTAAAAACTGCACACATATTTTAGGCCCTCTCACATGTATATGTGGCAAGAATAAAATTATTAAAGCGGAAGCATTCAGTTTCCCCGCCACCCCCTAAGGAATCAAGGAACTCCACAAGGCAGTAAAAAAAGCAGACGGTAGGATGCAGAGTCAAAGAGAGAGGGAGTACCTGAGAGAAAGAGAAAGGAAGACACTTGGGGGTCAGAGGAAAAAAACAGTATTTTTAAGAAGCTTTGCAGGGTGGTATTGTAGAAGGCAATTTTCATTCTTTTGAGCCATCCAGCATCTGATCCTCTGTCTGTTGAAGGAACCCCGTCTTTAGAAGGCAGAATTCCCTTCACAGTAGAAGCTGAAAATGCCAGAGACTCACGTCCTCAGTTTTCCTTGCAGGGAGGGTTGGGACTCGTCACTCCACCAATCAAGTCCTGGGCAACATGGCGAGAAACCTTCTCTACAATAAAATACAAAAATTAGCTGGGCGTGGTGGTGTGTGCCTGTGGCCCCAGCTACTTGGGAGGCTGAGGTGGGAGGATTGCCTGAGCCTGGGAGGTTGAGGCTACAGTGAGCAGAGACCCTGTCTCAAAAAAAGAAAGAAAAAGAAATTAGTGACATGAAGCACTCTGTAAAACCCACTCAGTCCATGAGGTGGCAGTGGTGGCAATACCTCCAGTCTCCTGGGTGGCAGTTGGAGCGGTCCACGCAGCCAGCAACCCGGACCCGGTCCACGCAGTCAGCAACCCGCACCCAGAGTGGGTGTCATGGTGTTGCAAGCTGCAGCCACCAGTGCCTATGTCTGTGGTCACGTTCTAACCAGACCAACGCTGCCGCATGATTCTGGGGGTTGGTCTCGTCTGCAGAGCCTCCTAGCCGTGAGTTATCCAGAGATTCTATGAGCACCAGTATTGTCTAACAGAAAACAATGATTTCTGTCGCTTACAGCTGCAAATCCTGAGACACAAATATGTGTGTTGTGCACCTCTGTCCTTAGCACTCTCCAGGGATTTTTTTTTTTTTTTTTTTTTTTTTTTTGAGACGGAGTCTTGCTCTGTCGCCCAGGCTGGAGTGCAGTGGCGCGATCTCGGCTCACTGCAAGTTCCGCCTCCTAAGTTCACGCCAATTCTGCTGTCTCAGCCTCCCCAGCGGCTGGGACTACAGGCGCTCACCACCGCACCCAGCTAATTTTTTGTATTTTTTAGTAGAGACAGGGTTTCACCGTGTTAGCCAGGATGGTCTCGATCTCCTGACCTAGTGATCCGCCCGCCTCGGCCTCCCAAAGTGCTGGGATTACAGGTGTGAGCCACTGCGCCCGGCCTCCAGGGATCTTAAGTAAAGAACTAGACTAGTTCAAACATGAGGTCAGATTTGTATTTCTTTTACACAGTCACTGTGCTAAGGCAAAAGCATGGACACCCGGTTTTATTGGGGTGACATCAAACGTGCATATCACACATTGTGAATGTTAGGAAAGAGACTCACGGATCTGTTCACAGTAGCTGTCCCTGAGAAATGAGAATGCCATGGGGAGGAGGAATTTTTCCTCTCATTTTACATTTTTCCATTACGGTTTGAATTTTTTTTTAACCATATTCATGTATTATCTTTAAATTTTTTAAGTTTAAAATAATTATTTTTAAAAGAAAAGGAATGCGTCTACAAATATATCAGAATGTGTACATGAGAGAAAAGATAAAGTAATATATGCATTCTGGCAAAAGACAGAGCCTTTGGAAGAAGCAGGTGGTGAGGAACTGGTAGTCTGCTAACGTCAGCTGAGAATCTTAATTTGGTGGGCTGTCAGTACTGCAGACTTTTTTTTAAGTTTTTATTTGGCATATCTTTTCTTTTTTTTAAGAGACGGGGTCTCACTCTGTTGCCCAGGCTGGAGTGCAGTGGCAGGGTCAAAGTTCACTGCAGCCTCAATCTCCTGGACTCAAATGATTCTCCTACCTCAGCCTCCCAAGTAGCTGGGACTACAGGTGCATACCGCTAGACCCGGGTAATTTTTAAAACTTCTTTTAGGAACAGCGTCTTGCTATGTTGTCCAGGCAGGTCTCAAAGTCCTAGCCTCAAGCCATCCTCCCGCCTTAGCTTCCTGAGTTGCTGGCATTACAGGCATGAGCCTGACCTGGTTTAAAAACATAAATAGAAGAGGAGGTTTTGAGTGAAAATTTGATATGTTGGTTATATTTGTGTGTGTGTGTGTGTGTACACATGAGATCTCACTATGTTGCCCAGGATCTAGGATGTGAATTCCTGTTCTCAACCAATCCTCCTGCCTCAACCTCCAGAGTAACTGAAACTACAGACGCCAGAGTAACTGGGACTACAGGCTCCAGAGTAACTGCGACTACAGGCTCCAGAGTAACTGGGACTACAGGTATGCAGCAGTGCACCCAGCTACAATTACTTGTGTGTGTCGGCTTGGGGATATTTCTGAATGAATGATGGAAGAGTATGACCACTGTTGTGGTCCATTTATATTCAGGACCCCAGAGAAAATGAGACAGCCTCTATCAGACTCCTCACACCCTCTGTGCCAGCATCAAAGGAGACCAGGTCCAGGTGAGGGGGTGAAGGAGGCTTCCTCTGCCTGCTCTCCCTGAAGGTCCTGGGCAGGCTCAGGAAAGAAGGGTGACAACATGCTCACCTTCATCACTCTGAGGCGGGCCATCCGCCTAGCTCAGGGCATCTTCATCAGGAGGGTACAGGGGTGTGGGCTGGCTGCTGGCTTCATTTTGTTTTTGGAATTTGATGTTCATCCCCACAGGCAAACAGATGAGTAACATCATGAAAAGCAGACTCAAGGACGGAACACCCACGATGGCTGTCGGCAGATCCACTTTCCACCTCCAGACGATGCCTCCGGCGAGTGCCCCCCACCGTGCAGTCAGAGCCCACCAACAGCAGAATCCTAGCGCTCTGACCCGACCCTACTCTCCTCTGACAGTGGGGAGGAGGGCCAGTGGGGACCCTGGCCTTTGCTCTCAACTCACTCCCTCTTCACTCTAGGGCGGGAGCCATGAACTCAGTCCCCACCTGTCTTGATCACTGGGCCTGGGGTGAAAGGCAGGGTGGCCCAGGGAGGAGAGGGCATGGAAAGTCGTGTGTGGAAACATACCCTGACTGTAAAAAAAGGAGCAGTCAAGAGCGAAAGGTCACAGTGAGTGAGTTCCTGCTCCAGTCTGCTCCTGGTTCTTAGGTGCCAGAATGAGAAGATGGGTTCTGGGCTGAGGGCAAAATAAATATTTTTTATGTAGGAAACTTAAGACTGCAGAGGCTGGCCAGGCATGGTGGCTCATGCTTATAATCCTAGCACTTGCAGAGGGTGAGCTGGCAGGCTCACTTAAGCCCATAAGTCTGAGACCAGCCTGGGCAACATAGTGAGTCACCATCTCTATAAAAAATACAAAAGTTAGCCAGACATGGTGTTGTGTGCCTGTGGTCCCAGCTACCCGGGAGGCTAAGGCGGGAGGATTGCTTGAGCCAGGGAGGCAGAGGTTGCAGTGAGCTGAGATTGCACCACTGCACTCCAGCCTGGGCGACAGAGAGACCCTGTCTCAAAAACTGTTACTGAGGGCCTGAGGGGGAAAAAAAATTTTTTTTAAAGACTACAGAGGCTTTTTGATGAGAAGATTCTCACAAAAACTACAAAGATTAATACCAGTTGCAGCTGGGTTAAAGAAAAATGAATGAGGATGATTAATCGTAATAACAACCTGTATGTATTTGCTGTAACCTCCTGGTTTACAGAGAACTTTCCTTTAAACTAATACAGTTGATCTTCACAGCATCGTTCAAGGCAGGGAACATATTTTATCCAGGCTCAAGGTCATGCTGTAAAATTGTGCATCAATTCAGAAAAGCACTTTAAAGATCTAATTCATTGACTAATACTGTTTGACACTGTTAGATAGAAGTGGCTATAGCACTGAAATTAACTAAAGCATATTGAGATCTTTGTGATATCCATAGAGGCATCCTTGAAGTCTCCATGTTGAGTGGCAGGGCCCGGCTCAGACGTTGTCTTTTCATTCCCAGTCCCCCCGGCTTTGCTCAGCAGCACAGCCTCCGTGTATAACCCATGCCCAAGCTGTCCCTTAGCTTACACGTTTGTCTGTAGAGCCAAGAGTCTGTGATTGGCCAGTATTTGCTTTTCAAAAATTTTTTTCTAGATTTACTTTTATTGTAATAAAACTTGTATTAGAACAAGCACCTAAATGTATGGATCACATCAAATAATCTCTGAGTTAGCCATGTCCAGGGAAAACCAGCCTGTAGATGACCCCAGGTGGACAGCAAGACCCTGGCATAAGGGCAGTCAGTGCCCCTCCAGAAGGCCAGCACAGGGCCTGGGGACAGTGGAGAATGGCCCCCAAAATGGGAAATAATGCATATCCAACCTGCCTCCCAGGGATGCTGGAGAAATATTGCATTGTCAGCAGGAGAACCACTTTGCCCTGGGTACACATGCGCTGCTACCATATCTGTAGGAATGTTACCATTGTTATTTTAATGGATGCCTTCTCTTCTTTCTGCCAGGCACTTTGAGTCTCTCTGGAGGGGCCAAGCCTCATGGAAACATGAAACACTGTGCAGATGAACACCATGAGTTAAAGGTATAGAAAGCCGGCAGGTAGGCGGGGCATGGTGGTTCACACCCCTAATCCCAGCCATTTGGGAGGCCAAGGTGGGAGGATTGCTTGAGCTCAGGAGTTTGAGACCAGCCTGGGCAACATAGTAAGATCCCATCTCTTTAAAAAAAAAAATTAAAAATTAGTAGGGTGTGCTGGTGTGCGCCTGTAGTCCCAACTACTTGGAAGCTGAGGTAGGTGGACTTGAGCCCAGCCTTAGTAACAGAGCAAGACCTTGTCTTAAAAAAAAAAAAGAAAAAAATGCTGGCAGGTGGCTTCTCAGGAAAGTCTCAGGGGATCTGTTGCCAGCTTACTGGGGAGCCCTGCCCACACGAAGCTCATAGCCAAAGTCATTCTGTCGCTGAGAGATAACTTGGCCTTGTCTCCTCCCGCCTTCACGGCCCCGTCCCTGCTTGGAAGCCCCGCTCCACTGCAGTCACAGTAGTCATTACACTGGAGCTGAAGCTGGTTCTGCCTCTCCAGCTGTCTGTGAGCTGCAAGGAGGCCGGGACTGTGCTTCAGGCTGTGGAGGGAAGTGAGAGAATGGGAGAAGCCGCCTGTGGGGAGCGGGAAGGCCTGGGGCCTGGGTTCCTGCTGCTCAGCCAAGGAACACCTGTAGGTTTCTGAACCTCTTTTTCCATCTGTAAAATGGGGGAAATAAGCCCTGCCTACCTCATCGGGCTTAAAGCTGCACTGTCCACTATGGGAAGCACTAACCACTTTGGCTAACAAGCCCGGGAGGTGTGGCTAGTCCCAATTCACATGTGCTCTAAGTGGAAAATATGCACCAGATTTCAAGGCTGGTACCAAAAACTGATATCAAGTCCCTCAATAAGTTTTATGTTGCTTATGTGTTGAAATAATATTTTTGATATATTAGGTAAAAGCACATATTATTAAAATTAATTCCGGCCAGGCGCGGTGGCTCACTCCTGTAATCCTAACACTTTGGGAGACCAAGGGAGGCGGATCACCTGAGGTCAGGAGTTAAAGACCAGCTTGACCAACATGGTGAAACCCCGTCTCTACTAAAAATGCAAAATTAGCCAGGCGTGGTGGCGCATGCCTGTGATCCCAGCTACTCAGGAGGCTGAGGCAGGATAATCGCTTGAACCCGGGAGGTGGAGGTTGCGGTGAGTCGAGATGGCACCATTACACTCCAGCCTGGGCAACAAGAGCGAAACTCCGTCTCAAATAATAATAATAATTAATTCCTTCTGTTTGTTGTTGTTGTTGTTGTTGTTGTTGTTGAGACAGGGTCTCACTCTGTCGCCCAGGCTGGAGTGCAATGACATGATCATCGCTCACTGCAACCTCCGCCTCCTGGACTCAAGCAATCCTCCCACCTCAGCCTCCTGAGTAGCTAGGACTAAAGGCATGCCACTGTACCCAGCTAATTTTTCTGTAGAGATGGGGTCTCTCTATGTTGTCCAGGCTGGTCTCAAACTCCTGGGCTCAAGCAATCCTCCCACCTCAGCCTCCAAAAGTGCTAGGATTACAGGCATGAGCCACCTCACCCAGCCTGCCTGTTTCTTTTTAAAATGTGGCTTCTGGAGAAATTGTAGTTACATATGAGCTCATATTATGTTTCTACTGGACAGTACTGGTACAGCAATGAACTGCTTGGATGGATGGAGTTATTAGAAACCCCATTTCTTCTGTTCTCTTCCCCTTGAATCTTGCAGAATGTGGCACAGGCAAAAGCAGGGCTTCAAAAATCCCTGTCCAAAATAAAAGTCTTGGATTTTTCATCTGAAAGAGTCAGGTACTCCAGCTACCTCCACTTCCCACCCCTCGATGCAGATAAACAAACTGAGCCCTGGAGTAAATTGAATGGTATCCCTTAAAGATCGACCAGCAAGAACAGCATTTTCCAAGTAGTTTTGGAACTTTTCTGTCCAAGGAGCGACTCCAAATATCTTTTTGTAATTAGCTTTTACTTTGATAAAACCGCTTTTGCTTCTGTTGCTCGCAGGTTCTTTCTCCTTTCAGGTCTGCCCTCATTTTCTCCAGCGAGCTAATAATAGAGCAGTTCTGGGTTCCCCATCCATACAAAGGCCCTGGGGTTGGCAGAATCGAGTTAAAGTGGACAGGAAAGCACCAGAACCAAGGGATGTCCCTCTTCCGGGCTTCAGCTGGCTCAGCTCTAAGATGGGCCCATTTACCTCCTTGTCTTGTGTTTGTTCTCGGGCAAAGGTCCAATGAAAGAAGAGACATGCGTGGAAGTCTTTTGTGGGTAAATCATTTGTCAGAAAATTGTGACTATTGGCCGGGTGTGGTGGCTCACACCTGTAATCCCAGCACTTTGGGAGGCTGAGGTGGGCAGATCACCTGAGGTCAGGAGTTCAAGACCAGCCTGGCCAACATGGTGAAACCCTGTCTCTACTAAAAATACAAAAAAGTAGCAGGGCGTGGTGGCACAGGTCTATAATCCAGCTACTCAGGAGGCTGAGGCAGGAGAATCACTTGAATCCAGGAGGTGGAGGTTGCAGTGAGCCAAGATCGTGCCCTTGCACTCTAGCCTGGGCAACAGAGTGAGACTCCATCTCAAATTTAAAAACAACAGCAGCAAAAAGAAAAACACTTGTGGCGATTAATGGGTAAGAAGAATGAGCAAACGTTTTGGCACAAAATTCTCAAGGGGCTCGCCAACCTTCGACAGCAGGAGCTTTGATTGACAGGCTCTTGAGAGTCTGAGATCATCCAAGCCCCATTTTACAGATGATAAAACCAAGGCCACAGAAGAGGAGGGGAAGGGCCTGGTCCAAAGACCAGAAACCAAGATTGCAGAGGCCTAGGGAATGCAGTTTGCACCCAGTTAGTACTCCACACGTCTTTGCTTTAAAATTTTCAAATAACATTCTTTTCTTATCACAATGCAGCATCTTTTAGAAATTTTTGAAAATACAGAAAAAATAGTCCATAATCCCCCCAACCAGAGATTGTCCTATCAACTGTTCGCATCTGGTCCTTTTTCTACTTATGTGAACATAGCTGTATGTTTTTATTTTACAAAAATATGATATGACTACAGTATTTTATTATTTGTTTTCTCCTCTCTGAATAAATAATAAACAGTTTTCCAAGGCAAATAATCCTTTTATACTATTATTACATGAAGGACTACAAGGAATTGTATTGAATGAATGTGTAACTGACCACCGGTTATTGGGCATTTGGATTTTTCTCCAGTCTTTCTCTATTATAACAGTGCTACAGTGAGCATTCTTGTAGGGTTTTTCTTTTTTTGCACACTTTCATGATTATTTTCTTTTCTTTTTTTTTTTTTTTTTCGTTTTCTGAGACGGAGTCTCGCTCTGTCACCCAGGCTGGAGTGCAGTGGCGCAATCTCAGTTCACTGCAAGCTCCACCTCCCGGGTTCACACCATTCTCCTGCCTCAGCCTCCCGAGTAGCTGGGACTATAGGCATGTGCCACCACGCCTGGCCGATTTTTTTGTATCTTTAGTAGAGACGGGTTTCACCGTGTTAGCCAGGATGGTGTGGATCTCCCGACCTCGTGATCCGCCCGCTTCGGCCTCCCAAAGTGCTGAGATTACAGGCTTGAGCCACCGCGCTATTTATGATTTTGACAACTGCTTTCCAAAATGTTGTAACTTTCCACGCCTCCAGCGATACATGAGGGTACCCATTTCTTCAGCCCTCCCTAATACAGTTGGGGTTCTATCATTTTCTTCATCTTTGCCAGTGTAGTAGGTAAAACTTCCCTTTCTCCGCTTACTGCAGAAAACTGAACCTTGTTCATGGGTTACTGACCATACATCTTAGTTTTTAATAACCTTCCTTGTCATACCTTTTCTTTGTCCATTTTTTCTTCTGAAGTCTATT